CAGATGCAAGAGGAAAATGGACTGTTACTTCCCTGCAGACCTACTCAGGGTGAGAGTAATCTTCCCAAAGGGCACAGTTGAGGCCCGTGTTCCTGGTCATTTATGTTGTGGGGGAGAAAACTGGCTCAAGAGGAGGATGTACAGGGACAAAGGCTTAGTTGGCTGGTCAGGGGCCTGGAAGGAGCAAGCTTGAAAGACTGGGGTGGACCCCTAAGGTAGTCAGGGCAAATTGTGAGGACCTTTGAATCATACACTAATGATCCCCAAAGAACGTTCAGTGTAGCTGGGCAGAAGAGTTAGAAACAAGGGCGTCAGTGTTGGAGAGACCTGGGCTCCAATCCTCAACTCTACCCCCACTGGCTGTGAGCCCCTGGGCAGGGGTCTTAACCCTCCTGAGTTTCATCATCCCCACCCATCAAAAGGATGTTTTTGTTACAGGATTTCTTTTCCTTCAGTGCCCTCGTTTCTTGGTCACACCGCATCGAAGAATAAAGAGGTAGACCAGACAGAATGGTGGGCAGCAAAGCAAGGTTTATTGAGTGATAGTAAAGCAAGGTTTATTGAGCGATTGTACAAAGATCCCAAAGAGGGAGGGGACCCGAGAGGGTTTCTGATTTGGTGTTTAGATCTAGGGGTTTTTATGGGCTTGTCGGCAGGCTGTTTTAATCTGATTAACCCTCCCTGTGCCTGTCACCCAATTAGGTTTTTGTCATCTACCTATCATGGAGGAAAGTGTGGAAGGCTTCTTCCAGGTGATGTAAAATCCTTTTAAGGGTGGTTTCCTCTTAGGGTGGGGGGCTTATCCCTGCCTGCCTTTCTTTCTTTTCTTTTTTTTTTTTTTTTTTTAAAGATTTTATTTATTTATTTGAGAGAGAGAATGAGATAGAGAGCATGAGAGGGGGGAGGGTCAGAGAGAGAAGCAGACTCCCTGCTGATCAGGGAGCCCGACGTGGGACTCGATCCCAGGACTCCAGGATCATGACCTGAGCTGTAGGCAGTCGCTTAACCAACTGAGCCACCCAGGCGCCCTCTGCCTGCCTTTCTTCCAACTGTCCTTCATCGTTTTAAGAATTAAATGATGTGCATGAAGGGCACACTGAGAATACTCAATAAGGGCGATAATTGTTACTATTTCATTCAATATGCTCAACAATCCTAAGAAATAAGCACCAATAGCCAAGTTTATCAGGTAAGAAACCGGCCCAAGGAATTTAAATGACTAACCAAATTTTCAGTTTACCAAGTGTCAGAAATAGAATTTAAATTAAGATTTCTGGGGGCACCTGGGTGGCTCAGTCAGCTAAGCCTCTACCTTTGGCTCAGGTCATGATCTCAGGGTCCTGGGATGAAGCCCGGCTGAGCAAGGAGCCTGCTTTTCCCTCTGCCTGCCGCTCCCCCTGCTTGTTCCCTCTCTCTCTCTGACAAATAAATAAAATAAAATCTCTTAAAAAAATGAAAAAAAAATGTAAGATTTCTTTGGCTTCCAAGCCCATGGGTGGCTTTAACACTCTGTGCTGGAGGAATTGCACTTAGAAGTGAGATACAAGACAAGAGCTTGCTATTGGATAAATTCTTTCTTTCCTTTATGACAATTCTAAAGCAAAAGATTATTCTCCCTATTTTACAGATGAACACCCCTGTGGTCAGAGAGATTGCATGACCTGACTAAGGCCATGTAACTTGTAAAGGGAAGAAGCCGGTATTTGAGCTTTCTCTGTACTACTTACATGTTCTTTCACTGGGGGCAGGATTGGTGATGAGATTCATTTTAGGAAAACTCTATGGGGAGAAACTAAGAAAACTATAATTCCATCAGGGCTTGGAGTTCAAGAACAGTTTTAGCCTAGTGGACCTCCTTCCTAGTGCAAAGGACCTTCTTTAACAAGAGTAATAAGTTATTAATAGGGCAATAGCCTGAAGTAGAACAGAAGTGTCTTCTATACAATTTGAACTCTCTTCTTCCTTGGTATTTACCTAACTTGTAAAGTTTATGATCAGTGATGCCTAACTGTATTAAAAGTTCATGTGTTTTAAGCAGTGAGTTAAGTGCCCAGTACAAAAATGGTCAGTGTGGAAAGTTCTGGCAGATATACACTACAGGAAATGTTCAGAAGGTCACTGTATGCTGGGGGGAAGTGGGGCTAGCAAATTATAACCAGAGCAGGGGGATTGTGGGAACCCCAAGTTAATAGTTGGATGGTCAGAGGTACTGGAGGCCCCAACTTTTGATTGGTGTCTGAAGTGGGGAGCAGTCTTGTGGGACTGAGCCCTTAACCTTTGGGGTCTGCATTAACCCCAAGGAGTTAGTATTGAATTGAGTTATACTGGAGGACACCCCGTTGGTGTCCACAGAGCATTGGAGAGTTGCTTGGTGTGGAAAACTCACAAATGTGGTGGGTGTCAGAAGTATTTTGGGTAAAAAAGAGTGAATACCCTCAGATTCCACAGTTTCTATCCTTTCTGTTAGGTCCCACCTTCACCCCCAAGAAAGGCCAAAGGCTAGAAGGTGAAATAGTGAGAAAAAAAAAAAAAACCCAGATGATTCATTCAAGTCAGTTAATCCTTATGCAATATCTGCTGTATTCAAATACATAGAATTCTGTTCTTCAGTTCTAGGAGTTACAGAGATGCAAAGATAAACTATTTAAATAGTCCCTGCTATCAAAACCCAGCTCTAGGTTCAGGGTTTTTCCCCTGGTCTCTGACACCAAGAAACTTAAAAACTTGTTGGAATGGAAAAAAAAAAAAATTGAGATCTTTTATTCTAGCAATCTTGTTTTAAAGATAAAAATGAGGCCTGAGATTATAGAGATAATTGGCAGAGCTGGCTTTTGTACTGGTGTTTCCCTCTGCTGTTTATCATCATTTTATGCAGCAATTTTAGCACATCTTAAATATTTCAATATTTCTGAACAGTATTGGAGAGTTTGTGAAGCTGATTTAGGAAAGGAGCTCAGGTACTGTGAATTGTGTAAGACTGTTGAATCACAGACCTGTACCTCTGAAACAAATAATACATTATATGTTTAAAAAAAAAAAAAGAAGATAACAGGAAGGGAAAAATGAAGGGGGGGAAATCGGAGGGGGAGACAAACCATGAGAGACGATGGACTCTGAGAAACAAACTGAGGGTTCTAGAGGGGAGGGGCGTGGGTGGATGTGTTAGCCCAGTGACGGGGATTAAGGAGGGCACATACTGCATGAGCACTGGGTGTTATACGCAAACAATGAATCATGGAACACTACATCAAAAACTAATGATGTAATGTATGGTGATTATCATAACATAATAATATAAAAAAAAAGGAAGGGAGCTCAGGAACTTTTGATTCACAAAGAAATGGCGGGGGGGGGGGGCGGATAATTTAGCTGTATTGAAGCTATGCATCCCAGATCTAGATGTCCATTATTATTACACTATAAATTTTGTGAGGACAGGAATCCTCTATTTAAAAAAAGAAAAATCACCCCCCCACCATGCCTTGTTGAATCAATAAATAAAATACATAAACATGCGTGAGTGACTTATGAGTGGCTATGTGTGTGACAAGTGGCTATGTTTATTATTTTTAAGATTTTTTATCCTGTGAATCTTTGTTGAAGGCCAATAGGAGGAAGGTGTAGTGCAGGAAATGAAAAGAGGTTTAATCACAGTCCCCACCATTAAGGAGCTTTAGAGTCTAGTAGGTTAGGGGGCAGATACACCACAGTAGAAAGTGATGAAGAATGAGGGAAACAAAGGCAGAAGAAAAATTATTAAATTTCCTTACTATCTACAGCCTATTGGCAAGTACTTGAAAGAGGCAGAGTGACATTCCTCTAGGGGCGCCTGGGTGGCTCAGTCAGTTAAACGTCTGGCTTCTGCTCAGGTCATGATCCCAGCATCCTGGGATCCGGCCCGGGCCCGGCATCATCGGGCTCCCTGCTCAGCGGGGAGCCTGCTTCTCTCTCTCCCTCTGCCTGCCGCTCTGCCTACTTGTGTTCTCTCTCTTTGTCAAATAAATTAAAAAAAAAAAATCTTAAAAAAAAAAGAGGCAGAGTGACATTCCTCTAGGGACTCAACTTCCTTGATATTAATACTTTGCTAAGGGCAAAAGGAAATCTTAGCCCTTCCTCCAGGATCCTATAATAAAAATGTCTTTAGAAATTTCCTTTTTCTCTAAACTCCCTAAGATACTGTTGGCAATCATCCCCCAAGCATATGGCCCACCCATATATGTCTGAAGGGTCTCATGACTAAGGTTCTATTAGATGGTAATAAATGACCTTTTCCTAACAATAGCTAGTCCCCTCAAGGTCCTGGAAACCTTATTTCCAAAATTCCTTAGAGATTTACCCTATCTTTACAACCCCCCCCCCCACACACACCTTGTAGGTATATAGTCACCACCCCTCATGACCCCATTGTAGCTCTTTCTGCCCAGGTCCTGTCCCCATGTTTTAATAAAATCACCTTTTTGTACCAAAGACATATCAAGAATTCTTTCTTGGCGGTCGGCTTCGAACCCTAAGGTCTTTCCTACATCAATGAACACTTCGCACAACGGGTGTGATGTAAGGGATGGGGGTACTCAGAGGAGGGGAATTTTCTCTAGGGGTGGGGAAATACTGTGCCTGCTAGGGAGAACCTGGTATGCGCATCAGGAACCTGAGTTCTACAACTGGTTTACTACTGATTTGCCCGGGGACCTCGGGCTGTAAGTTAGGCTTATAAATTAAATTCCCCAGATTTCTGTTTTCCACTCTGAGAAGGGTCGGCTGGACGATTAGGTTCCCTGGGACAATGCCCTCCTCGGTTTCTTATTGCTATTGTTTCTCTCCCCTACACCGCCCCGCTCCCCACGAGGCCAGACGGGAAACTGAGCGCGGCCCCTTTAAGGGAGCCCTCGACCGCGGGCGCTGGGGGTGCCCCCGGCTGGGGCGGGCCGCCAGGGACCCGGGCTTCCCACGCAGCCGGGGACGCCGTCGCGTCACGGCGCTCGCAGCCAATCAGGATGGAGCCTGCCGGGACGCATTACTAGGGCGACGGGCCGGACGCCTCCCGCTTCGGGATGAATTAGCGGCGGGTTTTGCTCGGAGATTGTGCCCCCCACGGATTCTCCAGTTCGTCCACGCGACCCCCACGGCGACGCGCGACGTCCTCTGCTGGTCACAGGTGGGAGGCCGGGAACTGTCAAGTGGGGGGTTTAGCGCCGTAAAATGGCGGCGGCGGCCGGGGGATCCCCGAGTTGGTGGAGGGGGAACAGCCCCACGGACTCTTCCCCCAGAGCCACGGGCCTCCCCTGGCCCCGGTAACGGTCACTTGACCAGGAATTGGAGGCCCGACGCAGGTGGCGGCGTCGCCGGCTCAGGTGAGGGGAGGCGCGGGGAAGCGATTCGCAGAGGCAGGCGAAGGCGTTGGGGGCTGCGAGGCCGCGCGGGCCGGCTCGGCGAGTGGGGAGAGGGCGAGGCTGTTGCGGGGTTTGGCGGGCCAGGTGCCCCGTCGGTGGTATAGATTAGTATCAAGACCTTCCTTCTCCAGACCTGGACGGGTCCGGGAACTGCCTCGCCCCGAACATAGTTCTTTTTCTGCCTCTGTTAATGTGCAAAACATCCCCCAAGTGTTTGCCACGTGCGAGGCTTGGACTTGGGCTCTCGAGCCCTAATCTGTGTATCCTTCAGGCTCCAGATGCCTGCCCACAGGTGCCAGAGTGGCAGTGCCACGGAAGGAAAGGTAGTCCCCAGCCGGAAGCTGATGTCAAGTCTGATCGTTAAGGGGTGTCTTAGCTTCTACCTGCTCGCTGAAGACAAAAAATAAAAAGCACATTTGAGTGCCTTAGAGACGTTTTCCTTCCTTGTACTTAACCTGCTTCAGGTGGGTTCCCTGGAATATTGTCTCTGCCTTCGAAGCTCATTAATTGTATTCGTGTGCACGTGGCTGTAGATAAGGCTGAGGCTTGGGATTCCGTTTAAGTCTAGGGAAGTAATGAAAAGTATGGTGAAGGCCTTTCAGAGATGAAATATTGTCTATTCATGTTGCTTATTTGGGCAAACATGTCATAAAATATAATTAGTTTTCAGAGTGTCTTAATGATAGTTCTTTTTGCAAAACTGTTGATTTTTGAGAGTAAAAATTATTTTATAAAAGTTATTTTTTAAAAAAGTTTGTTGCCACATTGTACTTTGATGTGACGGATAAGCATAATATCAAGTGACTTTTTATTTGATAGCAGGCTTGATTTTGTGGAGTGCCTTGTTCTGTCATTGAGAAAGCACAGTAGCCCTTTGTGTTTCAGTCATCAGTGGTTCCTGTCTTTGGAGTGCTCACTGTGTGTCAGGCATTGTGAAAGTGAGCCATCTCCTACCTTTTAATCCGATTTGCAAATGGGTTAGTTCATCTGCCCTCACCAGGTGTTTAGGCTGGCTGCTCACCACCAAGAGGAAATAATGGGGGGGAAACCCAAAAGACTTTCTTCCAGACTGCTACCTGGAGATTTGGTCAGTTTGGCCAGGGGCTGGGGTAGGTGGGGTTTCTAGTTTCTACTCAGCCACTTAAAATATGTTAGGGAAATCATATAACCTCTTTGTCAGTATCTTACCTCTGAAATGGGCAAAGCAATTCTTATCCAAACAATCTCATTGTACTTTTGTGAGAAAAAAAAACCAAGACAGTATATATGAAAGGGCTTACAAAGGTGAAAAATACAGGGTTAACAGTTGACATTTCTTACTGTACGGTTACTCAGCCAACGACGTTGTGTGTGCTTAGTCACCTAGCAACTTGGTGAAGTGAGTACTTTCTCATCTTTGTTTTACTGATGAGGAAACTGAGGCACCAAATAAACAACTGTGGTCTTAACTACTGTGCATACCATCTTCCTATATCATACAGATTTGTTATGTGTTAAGGGGGATATATAGGAACACATTTTTCTTTTTTTTTTTTTTTAAAGATTTTATTTATTTATTTGAGAGAGAGCACATGAGAAGGGGGAGGGTCAGAGGGAGAGGCAGACTCCCCGCTGAGCAGGGAGCCCGATGCGGGACTGGAGCCCGATGCGGGACTCGATCCCGGGACTCCAGGATCTTGACCTGAGCTGAAGGCAGTCGCTTAACCAACTGAGCCACCCAGGCGCCCAGGAACACATTTTTCAATGAAGTATTTTGTTTGTGATCCTTTGGTTGTATTGCGTAAGTAATAACCATGTTTCATTCCGTTGGCATCCAGTAGTGATTTATATGGTGATGACTACAGTTACTTTTATTCATTTTACTTTTAATGCCCTTTATTTTAAAAATTATTTCAAAACAGTTGATTTTCTAACAGGACACACAAATCAATAATTAAGGAAGATTTTAGTTTTTATTAAACTCTCAAAAAAATAACTTGCTGGGTGACTTGAAAGCAAACTTATGGTAGGTTCATTACTTTGATGTATTTGTATAAAGTATTCAAGTCTCTGTAGAAAAAAAGGATATGAATAAAAGTGGCTAGGACATTAATTCTTTCTTTTTTTAATGCCTTTTTTTTTTTTTTAAAGATTTTATTTATTTATTTGACAGAGAGAGAGAGAGAGCACAAGTAGGCAGAGAGGCAGGCAGAGGGAGAGGGAGAAGCAGGCTCCTGACATGGAGCTCGATCCCAGGACCCTGGGATCATGACCCGAGCCGAAGGCAGCCGCCTAACGGACTGAGCCACCCAGGCGCCCCTCATTCTTTCTTTGAGCCTTTTTGGAATTGCCCTGCCAAGTCTTTGGTGTGTAAAGATTAATTCCTGACCTTATCCTCCAGGAAATCCAGGGAGAAGTCCCAGGTCAGGAAGTTTGTAGACCAGTGAATGAGACAAACAAGTAAATAACTAATGCAGTCCGAGAAGGTTTCAGATATAGTTGTGGTGGGTACAGAGAGCTGTGGGAACACATACAAGGGAACAGTTGGTTTTGTTGGGGTGGCCCTAGCCAAGATAGGAAGGGAGCTGACTGCAGGGTAAAGGAGAAAGTGCCTCCAGCCAAAGAAGTTAGCAGTAGAGAGGACGAGTGAGACTGCATGGGTGTCCAGGGATCAGACCAGAGTTTTGCAGAAGTTGCTGAGAGAGAATACGGGAAAGATTGTGAATTCTCAGCTAAGAGAGTGACTTTATCTTGTGGGCAGTGGGACCTGTAGAAAGATCTTAATCAAATGAGTAATACAATCAACTTTATGTTCTGGAGAGAGATGACTAGTGACAGGGTGAAAGAATGTAAGGAGACTAGTTAAGGACAGTGTCCATACTCCAAACAAGAGGTGGTGAGAGAGTGAACCAGGGCATTCACTAGCAGAGCAGAGTTCAGAGTCCACCACACACATTTTGAAAGGAGAATGGAAGATTGATTAAGTGTGAAGAATAATAGGGTGGGAGAGGGGAACACTTGGTAAGCAAGTAAAGAATCACGTGGTTTTTTTGTTTTGTTTTTTTGGGAACAATATGGTTGCAGATTGGAGATACTGTTAATTTAAGAAAAGGATAGAGTAGAAAGTTCTTTGTTACTGGGTTTTGGGAGAATTGTAAACCCTTTGAGGTTGTTGGGTCAATAAGATTTAATAGAACCAGGCTTATACCTTCCTGTAGGCTTCTGGTTTCGAAGACTACAGAAAACTCAATTATATTGTACAAGTCAGCAGGTCTAGTGAAAAGGTGGCCCCACTGGAGCAAAGCCGCTCAAAAGGAGTGGGAAGAATCATCTAATGTATGTTGGGGTAAAATGCTAGAATGACAGCTATTAGGGAATTTTTTCATTTGTTTTTACATTAGGTTTTTAACATACTTGTACGGAAGTCCATTATAGTATGGAAGTAATCAAATGAATTCTCTAGTTGTAAAACTGATCTCCACTCAAACATTCAGAACACTAGAGTTGTCTAGCATCTGACAACATAACATGAATGAACCCATTCTAAATTGCAAGGTGAAACTGGAAACCTTGCAAAGATGCAGGATTTCATGTGTTCAGAGCAAGGTTGAGAACCGTTCAAACCATAAGCACAAGTCAAAGAACTAGTACTCTAGTATACTAGAGTAAATTTCTTAAAAAGGACTCTGAAAGCAATGACTGTAACAGTGATTGATAAATTTGATGTCAGTCTTCATTAAAATTGAGAACGTCTCCCCATCTAAAGATACCATTAAGAAAATGAATGGCAGAATACAGACTAGAAGAAGAAATTTGCAATTCATATATCTGACCAAGGACTCCTACCCAGAATATATGTGTGTGTATGTTTGTATAAAATTAATAAGAAAAACAATTTAAAATATGTACGGAAGTTCTGGACACTTTCTACTAGAGGATCTCTGAATGGTCTGTACGCATATAAAAAGGTGTTCAACATTTTTAGTCCCAAATGGAGACTCCCAATGGAGAAATGGAAATTAAAACAGTGAGCTACTACTACACACCTTCCAGAATGGATAAAATTAAAAAGATTGTTAATGCCAATATTGTGGAACAACTGAATCTCATCATATATGTTGGTGGGAATGTACAACCATTTTGGAAAACTGGCTGTGTCTAATCTTACCCATAATCCATCAATTCCATTCCTAGATATATACCTGAGGGGAAGGGATGTATATGTCTACCAAAAAAAAAAAAAAAGGTAAAAGAATGTTCATATAACCTTTATTCATAATAACTAAAATTTAGATAAAACCTGAGGTACATTAGCAGCAGAATGGATGAGTAAATTGTGGTATATTTATAAAAGGAAACATTACAAAAGCAGTTAAAGAATGAACTGCTGATATATCCACATGGATGGGTTTCGTGGACATAATGAGCCAGACAAAAGATTGCATACCATATGATTCCATTTAAATGAAGTCCAAAAATAGGGTACAACTATTTCCTGGTGATAGAAGTCAGAATGGTGGTGCGTTCAGGAACCTTCTGGAGTGTTGGAAATGTCCCGTATGTTGAGTTGGGTGGTGGTTATTTGGGTATATGTATATGTAAAAATTCAAGTTGCACACCTAATATTTATGCACTTTTGTTATACTTTAAAGGGGTACTAGTGAGAATTTGGCGATGTTAGACCAATTAACTTTTGTTGAGGAAACCCAGCAGGAATGATGATGAAAGAGATGCTTTATAAGAATTTAAAAAAGAGCATGAGAGGCTTCAGAGGAATAAATGATGA